TGAAATTACTCCACTAGTTAGAAAATCTCATTCGACCCTGCTTGGATTCGAACCACCACCCTCAGGCAATCCGTGCCAAATTCTCTGCACACTTCAAGGCTTTGAATGTTCGGCCTCTAAATTGAGAAGCAATTGTTCTCTTCTAGACTACCACCGCTCTAATGGTAATGGGTAAAGTAAGGGTTTTGAACGCGAACGAATTCCATTCTCTATCCGTTCGTGCATCTTTTAATATTGAGTTACTTGTCTCTGTACTCTACGGAACGTGAAAACCCATAAGAAAATACTGACTTTTTTACGTGATTTCTGAGAGTAAAAATTGTTTCTAAAAGAAATCGCCTTCTGGTGTAAAATGTATGAAGGTTCAACGCAATTTATTTAACGCCCCTTGGAAGGTATTCGAACGTGGAATTATATCTTTTTGGGGTTCCCATATTGTAAAAACTTGGCTAAATTGATAATATTATAGAACACAAGAAATAAAAAAACTTTAAAAGTAAAGCTTCTTGTGAAAAATTTTATTCAGAGAAGTACTGCCACTTTCCCTATTTCTGCTGTCAAGCAGTAATGTGAACATTACTGTGTTTCGGGTTTGAAGGTTAAGGGTGCTGGTGAAACTTGTCAACTTATGTCTCGGGTTGACGGCTGCAGTGACAATGCGCCTAAGACCTTTGCGATTCAAAGCTCTGAGTGGCGCTGCAACTGTGATGGACAGGTGTGTCCCTTATCACTAGCGAAGCTGTAGCTTTTATAAACAAGTATCTTTTATTTTCAAGACTATATATGGAGTGGTCCTTTTAAGTAACCAATCCACACAAGTAACTCTACTAGCAAGTTACGAAATACACTTTTCAAGATGACAGTATCTGCGCTAGCAAGAGCGTTGTAACTCAAAATATGGTAAATTACTGGAGGGCGTGCCTCCCCGTGCCCCGCCTACGAGGGTAGTCATCCCCTGAGATATACCCTCCTATCGAGACGTACTTTGTGGTAAGGGTACGGAAGACGGAATATATATTTTTTTATGAAATATAAATGTGATACATTGCAAGGTAATAGATATTTTCCTGTTTGACCATGAGATTTAGAAAAAGAAATATATTTTGCGTTTTTGCTACCTCCTTTCAAAAAAAAATTTGTCCGAAAATATCTACAAAAAAGCTATTTCCTTTTTCAATAAATCTTACAGACGTGAAACTGAACTATCTGGGCTGGAACAACCCAGATAGGAAAGCCAGGATCCTCAGGTCTGAGCTTGATAAAAATTACAGCAATAGGGTTTTCCTGTAGTACTAGATAATAAATACTTGTCGATTTTTCAATTCATTTATTGTCTTCTTCATTATTTTCACTTTTTCGTTCTTTACTAATTGTCTCCTCAAAAAACACATTGTTGTTACAGTCTTAAGTATAAGGTTGTTTATTTAAAGTACGTAGAAGAAAGTACTGGTTCTTAGGACACAGGTAGGTTTGTAAATGTTACAACTCGTCTTCCAATCACAAGGAACCGATTTTATTTTTTAATTTAATTTATTATTTAGTAGCTACTGCTACTTGCGAACGAGTTCATCCAGGGAAGTCCTGCCACCTAACCTATTTCTACCGCCAAGTGGTAATGAGAGCATTACTGCGTTCCGCTTTTGAAGGGTAAGGGTGCTGGTGAAATTGGCAATGCAACTGTGATGGATAGGCGTGTCGCTTGCCATCAGGCGCACGACTTGTTCGTCCCGTCACTTGGTACATTAAAAAAAACCGAACCATATGCAATTTATAGTACTAATTATGAAGGAAAACTGCGTGTTATAGAAAGATTTAAAACCTTACGACGACTAGCCGTATTTTACACTAGAGGGTCGTTGAAACCAGTTCCTAATTCATATTTCTAATATATACTATTTCCATTATCCCAAAAAGGGGTTACAAAAGTAAGATTCTATTCAACAATAGCTATTTTACACCCCAACGTATATGAACTGTAGAATTGGCCCCCTCAGTGTTGCCGCACGCAAAAATAAAATAATAATGAATAGCACCAAGATACTCCCCTAGATGCAATGGATATAATATGAAATTAGTATTATTGTTATTTTATATGCGATAAACAATTGTTACTTTTGTACATTATGTAATTGAATTCAATTTGTAAATTGCTGTTTTTTAAGGCTGTCTTTCCTACTAGCACAGGATTATTTTTAAATAACCGAAAGAATGAAAGACAAAAGATAATTACTTTTTTATGATTTTTGATTGAGAGTGTTAGATAGGGTTTAATATCCGATTAACAATATCAACTTATACACGTGCCATTACAGGGCACGGGTCTCAAAAAGAGAGGATTTAGTCCTTATTCCATTGACGCTTCATTCAATTGTTGAACAAATTGAGTTCTTAGGTTTTCGGGATTGTTACACATAGGAAATGAAACTATTTTTCCGGATTTAAATCGCGTATATTTGTTATTTCAAACAAACCGACTTTTCGGGCTTTTTACAGGGCCTATGGTCACGGTTGACTGAGGTGGTACAGTCTTCAACCAGTTATGTCTAATATTGATGCAAACCACCCTATTTTTTCACTTTAGTTACAATAGTTATTAATTAAATACCTTGTTTTTAATTTTACAAAGAAAACATTCCAATTTACGCTATATTAAGTTTTACAAATTATTTTATTCAATGAATTTTTATTATGTTCAATTTAATATTAATTATTAATAGAAATTAGAATAAACTAAAACATATTAATTAGTTGAACAGATTTTTACAAATGCTTAAGAATATTGCAAAATTTTTGCAATATTCTTAAGTAAACTAAAGACAATATAAGGCTAAGAAAAAAGAAGATAAGTAATTTCTGTCTGTCATTAAGGCGAATGACAACCCGGTGGCACAGACGTTTTGTATATCTAAACATTCATTTCTGCAAATTATCAACTTTTTCACAAATAACTATTTAATTATCTGAAAAACTTTTATCAGAAAATTAGTAGAAACCGTGGTTTTAATAGCAACACTGGCAAAGCCGAAAAGACACAATATCAAAAGTTGGCTGTCTCTTACTTTGTTAGGCTGTAGGTGTATGAAATTACCTCAATATACAATGCGGAATAATGTAAAACAATATGAAATATATTTTTAAATATTTGTAAATGGAAACTAAATAGTATTCGGTTATCATTAACGCGAACATACCGACGCCAATATTGATTTAGGTTTTTACAAATACACAACGTTATTGCAATGACAGCCGATCAAGCCAATTAATTATTTCTTTTATCATTGATTTTTATCTTTGGATAAAAACACTAAATCAAATATGACAGCGAAATGATAAAGAATCGTCATTGAATGTAATTTTTATATCTAAGTATTTGTTACATTTTATACCTAACATGGTAAATCAAGTCTATATTTTAATTGCTTATGAGTTAACAAATTCTTTAAGAGATTAGTGAAAATATTAAGCGTATTTATAAAAATTAATAAACATAAATTATCATTGAACAAAAACAGTCTGCCTGTGGCCATGTTTCAAAACGTCATTTCGTTTAAAAATCGAACAATTCGTTTTTGTTTCATATATCTACTAACGCGTCTCTATAGATAAAACGTAGTGGATAAATTATATACAGCGTTTTAAATAATTTCCCGCTCATTTTATTCAAATGTTATTTTTAAACCAGCATTAATTTATGCAGAAATGGAAAACAATTTTTCAACAGCTCAAATCAAAATGCCGTGAATCTAATTTATATCATTTGATTTATATGAATAAATTATATAATAACAAACAGTCGTGATATTTATTTATATCTTTACTTTCTCATTTTGAGTATTGATTTTTGATAGAGATATAAAGGTCTAACATAAGTACTATAGAGTAGGCTGTATTAGATGAATATAATGGAGTGCCAAAAATGTGGTACGTTTAAGTGCCTGCGATAATAGACTGTTGGGCGAGATAGCCGACTTTTAACAACACAGTAATATTTTGGTAATTATCAAATATATTTAACCAAAACTTCTAGTTGGTAATACCTTTCTGTGATATCATGGAATGTTGAAAATAGAAACAAATAATTATTACTTTTTTATTAAACAAAACCGACCGGTTTAAAAGCTTGAATGTCGGCTTTTTTTTGCTAACCGGATTCATATTCTAGTTTGCCACCCTTAGAGGTGGAATATTGTCTTCAAATTTAAATGGGACCAATTATTGAGGTACCCTCTTTCCAACACACAACACAAATGTAATCGCGCAACATGCACAAAGAATATTAAATATACAGTCCAAATGAGAATCTCCTCTTTTTAAAGTCGGTTAAAAATCAAAACAAAATACTTATATTCTTACGTACAATTACATAACTTTTCTCCCAAATACTACTTGTAATAAATTAAACTACAAACTACACAACAATTAAGGGATTTCAGATGGAAGTATCATCCATTCTGTATCAGTATACATTCAAGAACTACAAAATCCTATGAACTTATTGTTGGCAAACGTAATTTATCTATGTTATTGTAGATTTATGTAGCTTTAGAACGTTTAAATTTATTAATATTGTATGTTAATAAGTTTTGTTATAAAATCGTTAACCAAATACGTACAACAATAGGCATATTTTTGTTTATTTTTATATGAGCATAAATTCGTGCCGATATGTTTATTATTTATAATTTATTAATTTAATCTTCATGTTCATTTCAAACCTTATTTACGAAATATCAAAATATATTTTCAATCTATTGAATTTACTAACAACAAAGAGTAAAAATATGAAGGTACTTTTCATTTCGTCAAGGGTCAATGACCGTAATGTTTGTGACGATATCTCTGGCACAATAATTTCTACCTTTTGATTTTAGAATTTGTCATTTTTTTTTAAACAAAGATGTAATGCAAGCATTGTGCCGACGCGTTTTACGTAGTCCACAATCACGTCTATACATCAATGAAAATGACTTCGAATTATGACTTAAAATTATGAAACTTACCTTAAAGTGCCAAAATCCAAACTTTCAAGCGTGAATAAACTCAACACTGAGTAAATAACTTTATAATTTCACTAAAAACGTTTCAAACGTTAATTGATCACGTCGATCAATCACTAAACACGACACGGTGTGAGTGGCTACGAATATCTTATCAAAAAAAAAAAACACTTGTTTAATCAGCTCCCGATTTCCTAATTACGCGTCCTTGAGAAAGTTCTAACGAAAAAATAATTCAACAGTCCAATTGAAATAAATCTATTTTTTTTTAATCGTTGATTTTAGTTAGGCCTTTGTTTTTTTTCTCGATTGAACACAACACTGAGTAGTTCGAATTCGGTGTTCGAAATTCAAATATTGTAATGGGTGAGCGCTGCACGCGAACGTAGCGCGTCTGGGGCTCGACTGCCGCGCGGCGGCACCCCTCGCCTCGCACCGCCCCACCGCCGCCATTTTTCAGGTAAAAAAACACTCCGATAACATTTTTATTGTCTATTTCGCCATTATTTGACGAAAGGTTAGTAAACTATGGTTTTTTTTTCTGTAAATTTGTAGTTTTGTGTTTTGTGGGAGGAACAAAAGGCGTGATTATAGGTGGTCCGGAGCCATTGTGTTGCGGATTTGCGAAGTTCCTTTGTTTCAGTCTGTTGGTTGCATTAAGGCGCCAAGCACGTGCGCTGTCCATTTTGAATGTTTTTGCATGCATAATATGTTAATGTTTTAATTACTTTTTTTTAAAGAAGGAACTATTCATTATTGATATATTCTTAACGTGCTTAATTTGAATTGTCATAGTTATATAATTATTCATAGGAATTTAGAAAAAAATGCAAGAATTACGATTAGGTTCGATCTTAGATTACTTTTAAGGTTCAATATTGTTTGTCCTTGATATAGTTTGGTAAAGTTAAGGTATGACATACGTTAGTTTGTATAAAAGAAAGTACTTTTAATGGCAGACTATGTTAAATATAATAATAACATTCAACTAGTCAATAGATAACAATAAAGAATCAAACTAAATTTAAAAAGAAAGGTACGGATTCATAAAATTGCAAATTTCGTTTCCCAGACAGCTTAAAATACAATAGAGTAATAGAGGTGACAATATCCATCCAACAAAGAGGCTCCGAGCGATGATTGCTTTTGCCTTTGTTTTCTCTGTGTAAAAAAAAGAAAAACAAAAGGCGATCAGTTCAATAGTAAAAAGTCAGATTACGATAACATTTTTATTTAAATAAAGAACAGTTTTGAATTTTTAAATGTTCTCAAAAATAGGAATTCCACGGAATTGACTTTTTTTTAAATATTTTTAAACAATTGTAAGGATGCAAAATTCTCTTTCAAAGTATAAGTGACAGATTTTGAAAAGATTATTAGTTAAAAGTCGGTTTAAGTAGTTACCCCTAGTCATTTCTTTAAAATACGTAAAGGTATTTGAAATTAGGATTAAAACTGCTACTACCTAATACCTGTAAGCCAGTTAAGTTGGTACTTATACTTTAACGTAAGTACGTTAATATGATAAGTACTGTACTCTATCAATTTATATGCGTTCTACAGCAGGACACGGGTTTCTTTCGAGGTAGAAGTGAAGTATAGAACCGCTATAGTTTTAAGTACTCTTTGTTATTTTTTTTAATTATGTGCCAGGCAACTAAGCCAATTTATATATCCTTAAATTACCAGAGCAAAGAAATTATTATCGGAGCACTACCCAGAATACTCAGACGCATTTACAAAAGTTCATGTCCAGAATTCGTCC